CGGCTGCTCCTACACCTAAAGGGCAAACCCCCCTCGCCTTCCCAGCCCATCCTTCTTGAAGAGCCTCTATTCCAGTCAAGTATTTTTGACTGGCATGTTTGTAAAGCACCTTAACTGTCTGCATTTTATAGTGTGTCGTTACTGTAGATACAGTCCTCGGATTGAAAGCACAGAAATGGCTAGTGCATACTGGAGCAGCTCCAGGGAACCTAATCATACAATACTGGTTTACTGCTGTTAAAAATCTAATCTTATGTTTGTGTTTTTATAAATTTTCCTGCTATGTCTGTGTGCAAAAACCCAATTTTTTTATTTAGTCCACTTGCTATAAACCATATAGTTTCAATTAATAGAAAGATTAGGGAAGGAAATAATAACTTTCATTAATATTTTGCAAAAGTAACATTAATGGCTACTCACAGAATCATGAAATAGCATATTTAGCCATCAGAGTAATAAAAGGTAATACATGAACACAGCCTATTATCTGCTACCACTGACAAAATAATAATGATTTCAAAAAGAAAAGATGTGTCTCTAAAACTCAACTGGTGAGTTTTGTCTCCACATTAGACATCGCCAGTGTGGGCAGACTCTGAAAGTTCTGCTCTGTGCTCTGCCTAATTTTTATGTAATTCCTCTGTCATCTTTAGTAATCCATACAATCACTACAGCACCTTTTACACAGAAATTCACATTTAGTGTCGGAAAATGGATAGTGTTTGTTTGTGTTTGAGATGTAGCTTGAAAGGATTATAAAAGAAATTACATGACCTACTTGTCTGTCTGTGAAATGGGTGTGAGCTGATAAATCAGATGCCTCTTCTAGTCCAACTTCTACGTATTTACCAAGGTTTGGACTTGTTGCACTAAAGATGACCAGATGTGCAGAGATGTCAGAAGGAGGAGCCTGGCAAAATTGATTGGCAGAGGGAAGGGAACATCAACGCAACGAGAGATTTGTGAGGCCTGAGTGCAGTCATGGTTGCTGAAGCCTTGTTTGAAATAAAGCAGATTCTTGTTTTAGGGATCTGCTCCTGTCTCTTGGTCCAAATACCACCATGGCTCAAAAACGAAGGTAGAGAGAGCAGAGAGACCAAACTCCCCAGAGACGCCCAGTTGCACTGCTGGTTCTCTGCCTGTGCCAACCATCGGAGTCAGTACTAAAACCCAGCAACTAACAGCTTTTTAATTAAAAATCATCTTTCTGAATGCCTTCATAAAACCGCATTGTCATCGGAGCATTCACTCCTCACTGGAGGAGACTGAAGCCCACACTTGGCAGTGAACAACTCTGGGGATCTCACCCTCTCCTCCTCTTTTTGAAGGTGAATCATGAACGAGGATGATGAGACAGCAGCACGTAGCCAGAGGCAGAGCTTCACTTCACTGGCAGACATCAAAAGTGCCTGCTCCCCGCTGTCTCCTCAGGCTGGGCACCTCACATTTTGTATGTTACAGAGCACTGTCCTGGGAGGTGGGACAGCAGGACTGATGTCTCCTGGGCCAAGGACAGAATTCAGCCCAGCCCAGCCCAGCTCTCCCACTTCCTAATATGAACACCCCGCTCTGAAAGCGAGGTGGGGGTCAGCCTCCTCTCCTGCGTAATGAGTGACAGGACAAGAGGAAACAGCCTCAAGTTGTGCTGGGGAGGTTTAGATTGGATACTAGGAAGAATTTCTTCACTGAGAGGGTTGTCGAGCACTGGAACAGGCTACCCAGGGGAGTGGTGGAGTCACCATCCTTGGAGGTATTTAAAAGGCGTGTAGATACGGTGCTTAGGGACATGGTTTAGTGGTGGGCTTGGCAGTGCTAGGTTAATGGTTGGACTTGATGACCTTACAGGTCTTTTCCAACCTACATGATTCTATAAAGACAGGTAAGTGGTAACAGAGATAGTATCACTTGCATGGAGATCGGGGTAATGGAAGAAAGCCAGCAGGAAACATCAGTGTTAGTGCTGGGGGGGGGGTACAAGAGGGAAGGAAAAGGCTTATTTGCATATTCTAGAGCTGCCACCTCTAAGCAAGAGTAAAACCTTACCTTCCTGTGGGAAAAAATCTCTTCATCAAACAGCATTAAGTTTGTACAGTATGACAATAAAAAAATAACCTCAGGGTTAAAAAATTTTTTTTTAAAATGGCCCTAAATTGATTTCTTGTCTTCAGTACCTACTTTATCTTTGAAGCTGTAAAGAAACAGCATTAATTATGATATGAATATTACTATATTTACTATTTTATAACCATTGCTTATGGATATAATGTGATTTAATCCTAAAATACACAAGATTGAGTTATTAATTTTCTTAATGAGAGGACTGAAGTCAGCAAGGTTCATTAACATTCCCCCCATCAAGCAAGGAGTATCTGCCTCTTCAAAGTCTTAACAGAATGTTTATTCATACACTCAAATTGTCTCCCACTTAACTTACCTTCTGAGCAAAAGTGTTTAAATTAAACATATGTCTTCACATTGCACTTCAGTGTTAGCTACTCAAACTGAAAATCCTTCCACAGAACAGAGCACCAGAAAATTGCTGACAATACTCAGCAAATACTTTTAAGAGATTATGAAAGACAAGCAAGCAGAAGGACAAGTAGTAAACTGGAGAAGGGGTGATATAATATGCTTTTCCATAAAGATACTTATCCCTTCTGCCCTGCCAGCTTTTCTTCAAGGAAAGTGGAGGGTAAGCAACTGCATTCTGTTAACTTCTTACCTATTCATCACCGAAATATTACCTGATAAAAACTGTCATGACATATAAATAATAATTTGTTCTTGCTAAAAAGTTTCTTTGTGCAGTAGTTGAGACCATTTTATATCTGCTGAATGCGAATTATTTTTCTATTGTATATAATTTTATTCACTTGAACCCTTCTATGGACAGCCTTCTAGTTGGCAAGTTTGCAGGGCAGGCAAGGGAGTGAAAAATGGGACTCCTATGGCCACAGACTTGAGCCATTTGTGGAGGATTCTGTTTCCAGCCAGTGCTATGACTTCACTCCTTCTGCCATGACAACGTTGTTAAGTTACAAAGTTGTCGGGTCTTTGCCAGCCAATACACTGTTACAAGGTGGGTTTCACTGTCACCAACGCCCGCTGAATGTATACAACCCTACCAGAACAAAATGCTCATGTTTGATGCCTCCGTAGCAGCATAATAAGTGTCTGCAACAGATGCAGGTCGTTACTGAAGAGGATGTCACTGGAGTACATGCTCCTTCAGGTAGCATTAATTGTCATGAAGGGTTAAGCTGAGCTTCAGTTTCATACGCTTTAAGTGCCTGTGATGAAGGTGTCACAGATGAGCTAGAGGCAGAATTGAGTCGCCTAATCGTATGTACCTACTGTCATCTACCCTGTACATCCTGCCTGGCCTCCAGCTGCCATGACCAAAGGAAGCGTCTCCTGTAGGTACAGTGATACCATGTGGTGTCACATACCCGAAGGGGTTCCAGACTCTGCCGGATGCTTATGCTTTAGCATCTGAACTCAGCCACTACATTCAGGGGAGATGAGCGAGCCGCTGAGCTCATCCTAAGGTAGACAACTGCATGTGGCCAGCAGGAGAGCTCTCCACATGCCAGGTCTTGGCATCCCATTCATGCTTGAGGCTGCGTGGACTGGAGGGTCAATTCCATGGTCTGAACGCGGGCATCCAGACCTGTGTCTGACCCTGGGGGCATCTGAGACACTTTGCCGATCGTGGCTTTCCCCAGGCATTTGCTCTTCTGTGCAGAACAGAGTCTGATGTTATGCTGTTCTATAAAATGGGCCAGAAGATGTCTGGCTGAAATAGTATGAGGTCAAACATACCAAATTGTTGGGAAATGACAGTTTCTGAGGTGTTGGGTTGGATTAGCTTATTCTTAGACTTCTTCATTTTTCCTGAAATACTATAATCACGTAGCGCTCTGCTATACTGTATTTTCATTGAAAATTGTCAGGTTTTCTTACAAATCGTTACTGAGCTTTTTCATAATTCACATAAATAAGGAGAAGTAAAATCAAATAGTTTGGTATATTGTACATAAAAAAACCTGAATGTTCTTTGTGTGTTTTAAGCCAGAGGTAGTCTGTTTCTTATGCTATGAACTTCTAAAAATTTATTTCACGCTGATCTTGTTCTCTGTCTAAAATGTTTAAAAAATTATCTCTGTATGCAAAGTATTACTAATTTATCCTTCATGTTAATAGTATCATTTAAATCACAATTTTAATAAATCCATTTGAAGCAAAGGAGGCATGAATCTCCTCTCACATCAATTTTACACTGAAATAACCTCACTGATTTTAATGGATTTGCTTTTGAATTGTACTACAGTGTAAAAAAGAAACAGGCAATATGTCTCTCTAAAATACCTGCTAAAGTAAACAATTACACTTGTAGTGTAAACAGTAATATTGGACAATTCAGAATACATGTTTTAGCATAACAGTTTCAACTCATGTATGAATGATTTTTACTTACTTTAAGCAGAGATAGACCTTTTCCAAATCAGTTAACAATTACGCAGTTTCTCATATCTTTGTTAAACATGCTTTTCTATTAAAGTTTAGCATCCCTTGGGCAAACAATAATTATTTGATAGGGTTTCCTGGTTAAACAAAGTTGTAATTTCAATTAGGTTAAAAAGTAAAAAACTTAAGATAAGACCCTCAGGCGTAAACAAAATTTATTAACACATTTATTATAACTTAACTTTGGCTTTGAAACAGTAACTGTATAGTTACTACCACATTTGTAGTTTTGCACAGTGAAATACTATGAATATATCCATTCAAATTAAGACCTCAAGACTTCAGAGGACCAATAATTACTAAAAGTTAACATAGTTGCAGTCAGGTTAAAAATATTAAAAATGCAACTGAAAACAAGTTACAGGAAAATTTCAGTATTTCCTTTGATGGACTCTTCTGCTTAAAGAGAAATCACACCTTAGTGTATCTGTTTTAATGCAACCTTACACCTGGAAAACGAAGGTTGAGTTTATCAGGTCATATGAAAGGAAATAGTTTTTCGTGGGATAACTTTGACATCTTACTTTGTAAATGAGTACTTTGGTGATTTGCAGAACTAGCCTACGACAAGCTTGTCTTTTGACAGATAACATTTTAAATATATTACAAATACCATCCTGTGACAGAGGTGCTACACACAGAGCAGAAATACAGTGGCTTTCACTTTGAAAGATAAAACCATATAAAAATATCAGAGAAGGTCTAGAAAGTTTTCACAAATAAAACTCAATACAACTCAAACTAGAATATCTAGAATTTTTTCCACCTCGGTTAACACTGTGCATTGGAAACATTAAATAATTCAGAAAAAAATGTACCAGTACAGTTGCAATTGTTAATGGCTTCAAAATAAAATACACACATACAGATATATACATCATTATATATACATATTACTATTTTGCTGTTAAAAGTTCTTACTGAGTATTTATTGAAAAAGGTCAGAATATCTTTGGATTTCTGTTTCCTAATGAGGTAAAACCACCACCTGTGTTCACACACAATGATGTATTTAAAAATGCCATTTTTATTGTGCTTTTCTTGTGGCTGTTATTTGGGCATTTCTTAAACGGTTACAAACCTGTAACTCGAAGTTTATCTGTGCCAATTACAACCTCATTTTCATCCACTGTAAAAAGTGGCTTGCCGTCCTTTGAGTTGATCTGAAATTGCTGACCGTGGAATTCTACCATTTTAGGACCTGCAAAGCACAGTAGAATAATTACATTAGCTTTCCTCACTTTTCTATATAAATTGCTAATAATGTGAATTGTGGTCTTACTTTAGTGACTCATTTAAGTACATTAAGGATCATGAAGCACCCAGATATTCTAAGATGTAATTTGTTGTTCAAAACTGTGCCTGGAGTCATGCTTTCAAGTTGGGTTTCCAGGAAATTTAGGAAATCCCTCACGATTTGATCAAGACAAACATTCATGTTCTTGGTGTTGAAACTGTTAAGATTCTTTGATCAATATGAGTCCTATGTTGTTGGGGTTTTTTTGGTTTGTTTTTTTTTTTGAAACACAGAAAGTAATTACCGGAGGCTTTGCAGCATCATCCCTTTTGATGAGGGAGACTCAAATGCTACAGGCATCCCATGTAAGAGCAGGACCCTCGGCTTTTCATAACAAATGCCAGTTAAGCTCCACATGTCTAACATGTTACTGATGAAGTTCCTAGAAGAGTTTCAAAAGACTATGAGAGTATTTGCAATTGTATCTGGTACTCCAGAAATTTAAATAACTGTGTGCAAGAGAGTCTCTACATCATACCAGATCCTAAATTCAGTAAAACATCCTGTTGTACAGTATTGGCTTGGTAAGCAGATAAAAATCAAACCCTTAATGTTCCCCTTTGTAACAACCTGATCACTTAAAAATTCCTATCGCTCAAGTTTGAATGTCTGTTTGATAGAGTCATCATCTAAATCTATGTTCAGAATTAAAATTACAGAGAATGGTCAAAGTAGTTAAGACTCCTTTTCAGCAATTTTTATTAAAAGTAATTTGCAGACTGTCCATGGGACCGAGAGGCACCGAGCTGTTTCCTTCCCAGTAAGAACCTGTCTTACCATGCCTAACTCCCATAAAATGTTAAAATACATTCCAGGCAGTAGATCTCAAAAGAAATAGGATTTTTTTATTTTTTTTTTTAGTTTAAATGGCATTAGGTGACGGATGATTTGATTCTGCTAAGAAATACACTCAGGTATTTCCTACAACCTGCATGGTAGCTGATGTGAGAGATGCATACCATAAGGTTCTATACAAATTGCTTATAGCTTCACTCAGCAGATGCAAAGTACTGCTTTTAATTGCCCACCAAACACAGAGAAGGTTATAGAAGCCATTATGTCCTAAACTAGGGCAACAATTTTAAGGCATAAAACCCACTATGATTCTGCTTGAAAACGGCCAGGACAGAGGGCTGTACTGTGCAGTACATTATACTCTGTTGGACATGTGCACCCAGGCACAGCCTTACTGATCTCAGTTGGGCTCTTGTCTAAAGCTCCTCCAAAGCACATGACTTCATTTCTGAGAAGTGTATTGCAGAAAGTGAGCTCAGAAAAAAATACTGTTATTCAGTGAAAGGTGTTAAACATCATTTTTTTTTTTTTTTAACAGTGAAAGAAGCAGTTCTGGGTGAGGCAAGGATGCATCCCTATCAATGCTTTCCTAGAAAATCTGGGTTAAGGTGTTTTATTGTTCTTGTTTCTGCCCACCAGCAGTAATGGAACCGCCCATTTGTGCAGTATAGGTGGATACTTGTTTACTCAAACAAATCAAAGGACTAAGTAAGCTGGCTGTTGTCAACTTTACTGGTGCTGCAGGGGCCGGTTCTCATCCTTCCCATTCATCCAACACCGTGATCGCTGTGCTCAGTGCAAGTGTGGGGAACACAAATCACAGCCTCTGGTGTCTGACATGACACAGGCTGGGTGATTCAGGCACACTGAGGCTACGGTGTTTTTGCTGGAAGGGATTTAGGAGTGATTCTTGGTCTCTTTAATTGAAGATGTTTTACACTCCATAGAAAAGGAAGGTACTATTTGGAGCCTTTATTTTGTCCACAGGAAGGGAACCCACGTCTCCAGCTTCCAGGGCCAACATGCTGGCTGTAGGACTGATGGAGAAAAGTTGTGCAACCACCTTTTCTTCTGACCTGCTTGTCGGACCTTATTCTAAAAAGCACACAATTAAACTGTCTGCTGGATTAGACCCAGTAGCTGAGATGATAGAAATGAGAATGCTTACTCTGTAGGCTCTGACATAGTTAAGTATTTTTCTTTTCAGTGCTGTCAATATTTTACTAGGTCTGGCATGCTGGAAGCAAATATTTTTATATAGCTATAGAATATTTATTGATGAAAAGAATTAATAACTGAGTGAAGACCGTGAAGACTTATGTTTTAGGTGTATGTACTTTAAAGCAAAGTAGGTCCCCCAAGACCTTCCACAGATTCAGTTCTAAGCTGCGAGGTTTTATAGTGTGAGTAAAGTACGAATTAGAAAGTGCTGTTAAGTGTATTTGAACTATTGTGCAAGCCTGCAAACAATATGCGGCAATATCTCTAAAAGACTCAGAAATATATACTGTTCATTTATATGTAATTGTTAATTATTTACACATGATCACAGAAGAATACTTTAATGTGATGAAGATACTGTATGTTTAGATGGAATGCTATCTACTGATTTCCTTGGTTCAAAGGCAGTCATCTCTGAAAATAAGTTGCTGGGCCTCAATAGTGGCACTTGTGCTCTTCCCTTCTCAGCACCTTGGTAGACACAGAAGCTTTCATTGATCATAAAGCATTGGGGGGAAAAAAAAAAATGTGAAAGAACTGGAGAAGTGTGACATGATTTGCACCAGGCCTAACTTGATCTCTTCTAGGAGAACATTTAGCTTCTCGATTTTGCTGAATCTATTTCACAAGCAATCTTGTCAAAGAAAGATTTTTCATGTTTCTCATGTAAGAACAGGAAAGACCTACCTCAAACAGCATGAATCAATTAATGTAACTTGTACATCTGCATATTGCCAGAAAATGGACAGGTTTTTATTAATTGGATTGTTATGGAACATAGATTAATTTACAGAGAGATGTGACATGACAAAAGAAAATAGTTATAAGATACAGGAGCTGCTTTAACTGAATTTAGGATGCATATATACATGCTAAATAGCATTTAGATACTGTGGACCATATTCTGTTTTCTCTCATCTAACCAAAGTAAGCAGACATAGATAACAAATGCATGTTGTGCAGACTGACTTTCTCATCTGTGCTCTTGAATGCAAATTTCAGACATGGTGTCCATACATAACTTCATACTGATACAACTGGAGATGCAGTATGTACCAGTTTAATTAACTGGTCCATGTACGTACTGACCCCTCTTGACATTCAGACCACATAAAAGCACATTCCTGGGCTCTTCTCTTTTTTTCCACTCACTTAATGCCTGATTATTCCAGGCAAGGCAGAACACCTTTAACATAAGAAATTGAGGGAGTCCTACCCTAAAATAGTGATACAGGGGAAAAACAGAGAAGAGTCTCCTTAGATAGATGAGGAACAAGAGGCATAACAGGATTTGTAGAGAAGTGCTCATCCTGGCTGAGCAGTAAGTTTTAACAAGCTACCGAATACATCTATACCAATAAATCAGAGACAGCCAAGGCAGAGGAGACACAAGCACGGCCAGTGTCTGCTGATCTGGTAGCAGGGTCCTTGGCATTGTCTCAACCTGTACCACACAGCAACCTCGCAGACGATGCCCCTGACCAGGGGCTGTTCCTCGTGGACGGGATGGGTGAAGCTCTCCCATTCTGGAGGGAAGTAGGCTGGGCTGAGAGTTGTGCGTGCCATCTGCCCCTGATGCAGGCTGGGGGGCCTGGCGTGGTTTGGTTGCTAATGCAGATGTAGTCTATCCCTACTTGCTAACACTTTCCTACTTCAGATGTTTCTGGTCACACTGTGACTCATTAAGGTGTTTAGCGATTTTTATTGCTTAAGAAAAGTTTGATGCCTGTTGCTCTTAACTTTTTTCCTGAGCACGAGTTAGGAGAATTTAAACATTGAATTTAAGCATGTAGAGGGCAGTTAGGTGGGACCTAAGATGGGTGCATTGTGAACTACGCCCATTATATTTTAAAGCTACACTTAAATACAAAAAAACTCTGGAAGCACTGAGAGCACTCGCTGCACGTTTTATACACTTCCCATGGCCTTGCCCATGTTGGGTTTGCATCCAGATTTCTTTTTTTTTTTTTACCAGTTTGATCCTGGACCTTGCACACTTGAATAAATCTTCAGGTCCATGGTTTTCTCAACACAAATTCTCCAGTAAAGTGGGACAAAGATTGTCCTATATTGTCCTCATTATCAAAGAACAGTACGGATAATAACTGATGTGTTTTAAATCTTTAGAGGGAATGCTAGGGTAAACCAAATTCAAGCATATGTTTTATTCATGCTAAGGATGAGACATCTCAGTATACGTGGAACAAATTTCCAAAAGCAGTAATTGGCTTTTAAAGAAATGGGAATAAATTTATGTAATGAAAAGTAGCCATTAATTTCTCTTAGTTGTATTTCACAATACACATGCACTAGCTACACTGCAATAATACTAATTGTATTGTGCTCCCAGAAAGATCAGTTTTCAGTTCATAAAGAGCAGCCAGATTCAATATCTGACACTTTAATGTCCTAATTCCTAAATGCATTTTGTTTACAACCCTAGTATATTAACTACATGTAAGTCAGCTAATACTATATAATCATACTTATTGATAGAATCCTGCAATTAAAAATATAACATGGCTGAACGCAGGTTATAGAGAGCATTTGAACAGTTTTCCCATTGCTGCCAGAGGTGTCGCAGGAATTCCCAGGTCGATCGGTTATCCTTGCTAATCAGGCTGACCAGTAATTGCCCATTGTTTCTTTACACTTCCTCCTTTAACACGTGCAGTTCTGATATATAGCTCAGGTGACCATCACATCACATACCTCTTGACACTGAGGATGCCACTTTAAATGATGAAAAATTGTTCCAAAACCAACTGACCTATTGCCTGCAAAGGAGCACACTGCTAAACAATCTTCCCTTTGGTTTCTCCTCCTCACTCCTGACTCCCCTAGGGGTTTTCCAGGGAAGGAAGGTCTTTTGATTAGTCAGTCCAGTT